CGCGACTGGTGATCTAAAAACATTTTGATTGCCTAATGACGATCACGTCACGAGAGACAAATGTTGCATACCTAAGTAAATAGCATAAGCAAAGGTCGATCGATATATTATTTGTTTGTTTCCTCTTTGTCGAGTTTTAGAACCTTGTATCGACTTTATCTGGAATAAATATGCCCCAAATTGCGATATATACTTCCTTTCACAGAGTAAAATATTGAGCTTTGGCTTCCATCGATAACATATTTTGATTTAAAATATTTCTTTAACTGAATCAATAAATAAACAAACATGGTTTTACGATACACGCATGGTATATGAATTCTATAGAATACCTTTGACAAATAAAATTCTGAAGAAAATATCGGTTATTGGCGTACCCTAACCCAGGGGTCTGCAACTACTTTTTTTCCAACTTCTCGCGACCCAAGCATTTGGTAAACATGTAATTAGTTATCGATTTTAAGACTATTGTCGACACTAGCATTTTTCTTGCACAAAATTATATGAAACTTATCACATAAAATTGTGAATAATAGCGTTTATTATGACTAATGCAAATCATGAGCTTTGTGTATAATACACAACATATCAAATCGAGGTTTAATTTGGGAGACGGCAACTCGAAGATATTTTTTCTACCTCTAGCCTTGATCTGTTATCGTCTTTTAAAACGCTGATAGGCGGGGAAAAATGTATTGGTTTTTCAATGAATTTTGAATGCTTTGCTGTAAGATACACGCGAAACCAATTTTTATACATAATTCGCTGTTATTCCGCTTATATGTATGGTTTGAGTGATGTATTTCTATCCGATGAGGGTGAGAAGATGAGTCTTTTGTCGGGCGTTGATCCCCACTGCTATAAGTGCTCCGTACGGAGCCTCAGGGCTCCGCGAGCTATTCGTTCACTTAAAAACTGACTTGGTTAATTTTGTATCTGTGAAGAAGCATTAACGTCACTAATAAAATTTGACGATGGTGGTGTCGAAATATGGTAGTGATTCAAATATAACATTATCTATAACTAAGGGCGCAGCAGCCATGGTTTTCTAAAAGGGAGGGGTTCAGAATAGAAAATTCCCGAGCAACACTCATCGCTCAATCCATGGCCGACCCGAGAATTTGAAATGTCTTGTCATATCAATTCAATTTAATTAGTATTTCATCATTGCTCGCCTTTGAGTTGACTAATATACTACGGCAACCATGAAATACTTGTTAAACCGTCTACTAGCAATGAATGGATTGAAATCGTATTTTTGAGTTGCTCTTTCAGCACTTAGGATTATTGCAATGTTTCGTTGTTAGAGAGAGTTTGCAGTTATGAAGCCAATTATATTTGATACCTTCATATCGAATTCGGTCTATGCATAAATGTATCAGTGATTTCTAGATGCAGTGATGGGACAAATATCGACCAACACAGTAAAATGATCAAACTTTCATTGGAGGGTTTAGATCAGGGGTCGGATTCGGCCCGCGACGCTTCACTGAATTATATTAACAAAACAGCTTTATTGACGAATATATTTTTTACGTGACAAAATTTTGTTTTGCGAAACTAAATTATACTATAACCTAACAAGTATATAATTCACAACCACTCGTTTAATGAGCCTATAATTGATTTTAATTAGAGAAATGGCAACAGAACGTAAAAAAATTGATGCTGAGCGCAAATGGTTTAATGACGCTGAAAATATTCAAATGATCAGTCTTCGCGCACTGCTTGAAATTTCAGGGTGAAAAGATGTGATTCATTGGCCATTCCTTTGGTTTTTACTTTTCTAAAATACGTGCGGCCCGCCAATGACTTGCAACCTTTAATTTTGGCCCGCGAACGACAAAAGTTTGCCGACCTCTGGTTTAGACTTCAGAGCCAGTGAAGTTATACATTCATCCCAACTCAAATCCTCGACCCACTGCCCTATCTCCCTCCACCTTCCTATTCTTGATCCGCTGCCCTGTCTCCCTCGCCTTGGCCAACTGCTCCACCCCCTCAACCTTCCTATCCTCGACCCACTGTCCTATTTCCCCCAACCTTTCTATCCCCTTTAACCTTTCTATCCTCGACTCATTGCCCTATCTCCCTCGATCCACTGCACTATCTGCCTTAAACTTCCTACCCACGACCCACTGTCCGACCTCCCTCAACTTACTTATCTTCGACCCACAACGCTATACCACTCAGTACCTAACCTAACGCCGCTACAATCACGACTCGATCGTCAAAATGAACTCTACTATCTTGCAACCAACTTTCATGTGTTATCCTGGCCGAGTATACCAATGAGGTGATTCCATCGTACGTCGACAAAACAAGATTGACGGCATTCGTGAATGTAGGCTGGAATCTCAATTGGTAATCAATAACCATAATTAGTGGCTTAAAAATGTGCTAGTAATTAGGCTAGTGATGACATCGGGTTTAGAGTCACTGTTTTTAAAATTTTAACAGGCCATTCGATATCGACATATCTGGTTCCTCTCCGGAACTCATTCAATGTCGCCTGTATTTCCGTACAAGGCAAAACGATGAGGAGATAATCAACTATTTGCACGCTTGGTCTTTTTCAACGAATGTTCTGCCATATCATGTTGTATATACAAATTTCTTTTACGTGACTGAGAAGGCTCAAAAGTCAAAAGCAGTCAAAAATATAAGTCGCTCAGTGAGTGTAATCCCTTCCAAACTATTTTTAAGCCATGAAATGTTTTGTCGTAGCTAGCGTTGCCAACTGCCCTTTAATTCAGCGAATAGTCCCAAAATTGAGCTCATCTTGTCTGCAACTTAATGAAGTTGCAAATGACGCAGTTCGTACGTAATCTTTGGCATCGCTTTTACTATAAAATGTTGAAGAAAAACACTTTATACGGACCAGAGCACTATTGCTTATCTCGAATCAGCATCATACTGTCACAAGACTCACGAAATGGCGAATTATTAAAGGCTTGTTAAAATTTTTGAAAACAGTCATTCCCAACAAGAAACAATAAGTAGCCCAATTAGTAGCACATTTTAAACTGCCACTTATGGTTATTGTTTACCATTTGAGATTCCAGTCTACATATACGAATGTCGTTAATTATGTTTTGTCGACGTACGATTGAATCATCTCATTGGCATACACGACCAGCATAACCCATGGAAGTTGGTCGCAAGATAGTAAAGCTCAGTGTGGCGATCGGGTCGTGAATAAAGCGCCGTTAGGTCAGGTACTGAATAGTATAGCACCGTAGGTCAAAGATAGGTAAGTTGTGGCAGATAGGACAGTGGTTCGTGGATAGGTAGGTTGAGGGAGATAGGGCAGCAGATCGAGAAGAGAAAGGTTGGGGAAGATAGAGCCGTGGTTCGAGGATGAAAAATTTGGGGAGATAGGCCAGTGGGTCGAGGATAGGAAGGTTGAGGGAGATGGGGCAGTAGGTCGAGGATAGGAAGGTTGAGGGAGATGGGGCAGTAGGTCGAGGATAGGAAGGTTGAGGGAGATGGGGCAGTAGGTCGAGGATAGGAAGGTTGAGGGAGATAGGGCAGTCGGTCGAGGATAGGAAGGTTGAGGGAGATGGGGCAGTAGGTCGAGGATAGGAAGGTTGAAGGAGATGGGGCAGTAGGTCGAGGATAGGTAGGTTGAGGGAGATAGGGCAGCAGATCAAGAAGAGAAAGGTTGGGGGAGATAGAGCCGTGGTTCGAGGATGCAAAATTTGGGGAGATAGGCCAGTGGGTCGAGGATAGGAAGGTTGAGGGAGATAGGGCAGTCGGTCGAGGATAGGAAAGTTGAGGGAGGTCGGGCAGTGAGTCGAGGACAATTTTCGAGTAAACGAATAGCTCGCGGAGGCCCTAAGTGTCTTTAACGGAGTCCTGAGGCTCCGTACGGAGCACTTTGAGAACCTAAAGTCTACGTAGTAGGATATAACAATGCGAACAATTAAGTAACGAATGTTTCCTCGACTTTTGATCTCTTGAGTTCTTCCTCTTTACACCTTACCATTGGAAAATTATTGGTACTTATTTCAAGAAGTTTAGGACTTATATTTACCAAAACACAACTAAAATCTAACAAATAACACGCGAAAACCGACAAAACGAGGTAATATCCACAACCATGAAAATCTGTCTGAATGGCAAAAGTATCCGAGCGCTTCTGAAACGTTTATTGTTACTGCAATTTTGCACTTATGCTGATTGGCCAATGTTACGGCAGTAAATAAGGAAGTGTATACTCGGAGAAACATTCATTATTATAATCAGAGATTTATAAAGTTGTTATACATAAATACGCTACACAGACGCGATGCTCATATTTATGAAAGATATAAATTGTTTTGCGACCCAGAGCGGAGGGCTTCGTAGTTGCGGACCCTTGCCCTAACCAATCTCAATTTCATAAATTACTCGAATCATGAAGATACAAAACAACTAATTATATACACAGCTGATAAGGCGCATTTATCTGGGTGACCCTCTCTCTGCTCCTCCTAAAAAATAGTATGTGGAATCTACTTGAAATGTATGTCACAGTAACTCCTATTTTTATATCGTCATGTATGATTTATCAATTTTCACTTGATGTAAAGAATTTGCTAGTTCATGATTCGCTTATTTGGAGCACTGTCGAGCGATGTTACAAATGACGCAGAATTATCATATCTGCTTTAGTTTACTGAACAAATAAAGAAGGTCCTCTAGTCTAGTATGTACCTTATGACGTAATCGACGACTAAATGTTTAAATGGACTATTGAGCAACTTTATACAGAGATAACGACAGTAGTTCCGAGAATATTAGTAAATATTGTTTTCATGAAAAATAAAGAGTATCGTTTTATATAATCTAGTAAAGAGTCTAATAAGTCAAAAACCAGCAGATGAATACCAAGAATAACTGACACGATACCAGAATAATTTTTTGCCAACGTTTCTGTTAAGATTAATCACTCGAATTCTCAATAATTACATACGGGTTTGATTACAGGTATAGAACTTGCAGTGCATGTACTTGTGCAAACAATACAGAATTTTAACATTTATTATCAGTCGCATTCGTAGGATTATTTTATATAATAGCAATTAGAATGCAATTAAGACTTCAAATCACTTAAATATATTCCATAGAATAATGACGGCTATTGGAATTGATCTTGGGACAACATATTCATGTGTCGCTGTCCTCAGGAATGGAAGAGTATGTACGAGTATTACGCTATAGTATTCAAAATGTCACGTCATATTCATTTTGAATACACCGAAATTAGATGAAAATAAATATAGGAATAATTCAAAAACCAGTTGAGTAATTGAAAGTGGTTCAATTCGATTATTTTCCTAGTTCATCTTCATCTTCATTTCTAATAATTCATCTTACTGATTCACAAGCAGCAAAACTTAATATTGAAATTGTATTCCAATTATTATGCAATATTGAAAAAAAGTCCTATACGTGTTTTAGATTGTATTTAAATAGAAAAGTGCCGAATAAAACCAACTGTTTTGGGTTTAGATTGAAATTGTTCCGAACGACGAAGGAGACAGATTAACACCATCTTGTGTTTCATTTTCTGATACCGAGATATTGATCGGGAAGGCGGCAAAAGATGAAATACCATTTAATTTTGAAAATACCTTGTTTCGTGAGTAATTAGTAATATTTTTATTATCATCTTTTCCCAAAACTCAAAAAATTAATAGTATCATTCTTGTATTGATGTTGTTAGACCTCACCTCAAAGCAGATGTAATTTTACGGAGCATTGGCGAGCGTCCAATGATAAGCAAACTACCACGTGTGATATTTGTGTTGGCAAGTTGAAATCAGTACATACTGTTTGACCCTAAACTTTATTCAACTTGAGTCAATACTGTCAGAGAGATAGCTAGCTAGGTGAAAAACAATTTTGCTAATCTATTTTGAAAGAAATAAAAAAAAAAATTTGCAAGCATAACCTCTGCAACGAATAAATGAAAACTGGGCAGTATTCTCTAATCTCGAAAAACCATCAAAAATAATATTTATTGACTGTCACAAAAGAATCATGCAAATAGTGTTTATTATTAGACACGGAGTGGACATATGTATAGTTTTGTTAATATGTTGTTGTTGTTCTTTTTGTTTGAATTTTTTCTTCTTTCTATCATTATAAAAAAATCGCTTTTCTCTTTAATTACTGGGCAAATTTCTTTGAAATTTTCAGTGGTAGAAGACTGTATTTTTCTTTGCTAGGAGGCTATTACTTGTATTTATTCCTAAAATTTCTATGAATCTGAGATCTGATATTCCGCTATATGGAACACTGTTTTTAAGCTATTTCAATCTGTTCTGCAATAGAATATCAGGCATAAGAATTTTCGGGGAATTGACGATAAAATTTTTTGTTTTGCCCTCCGTGTCCATATATTTGAGCATCGCTCTCTTGTCTTAAAGTTAAAACTCGGTTAGTCTTATTACAAATATTTGAATAGTAAAAGCTGATACTTGTTTTAACGCAAATTTTTTCCCCACTATATATATCTTGAAGAAATTAAGCGACTTATCGGCAGAAAGTATGATGATCCTAATGTACAACAAGATTCAGAATATTGGGGATTTAAGATAATCAATGAAGATAACAAACCTAAAATACAGGTATGTTGCATTCATCTAACTCAGCAAGTGCACGTTAGTTTTTTATTTAAAATATATTCGCATATTGACATTAAAAACTTTAATGCCACTCCTGACATCATTATAATGTGAACATTTGTTTTACCTAATCATTAACTGATAATATTGAACAACTACCCTTATATAGGTGAATTACAAACACGAGATAAAAACGTATTACCCCGAGGAAATTAGTGCACTGATATTGAGGCAACTAAAAGATTCCGCTGAGGCTTACATGGGGTGCAAGTTCACCGATGCTGTTATAACAGTGCCAGCTTATTTTAATGATTCTCAACGTAAGGCTACAAAAGAAGCTGGAAGAATAGCCGGTCTCAATGTTCTACAAATGATAAATGAACCGACTGCCGCGGCAATTGCATACGGATTAGACAGAGAAGTAAAATTCCTATCTACTTACATAGGTTACTGCAATAAATAAAAATTCTTTCATCTGACTATTTCCCTGAATGCAGTACCATATAAGGCAGAGTTTCCCAACCTATTTGTGTGAGACAGCTTGTCGCTCCGAGAATTGATAACTTGTGCAATGAGAAGCAACCTCGCATATCACATTAATGTCGTTTGTGTTGTTGTGTTGAAAATTTAACATTATTCTTCCTTGTTGGTTAGGTACAGAACTTGATACAGCATAGGATGAGGGTCCTCCAATATAAGATTCGCAAATGGGTGTATGCGGCACAAAAGTTTGGGGAAACTCTGCCATAAGGCATACATAATTAAATTTATAATATATCACTTATTTTGGGTTTTATCAAATTTTGTCTACAGAAAAAAGACGAGCGCCATGTATTGATTTTTGATCTCGGTGGCGGAACATTCGACGTGACACTGATTACAATAAAAGATCGGGTGTTTGATGTCAAAGCAACTGGAGGAGATACCCACATGGGAGGTATAGTGTAATCATTCTTTTCAGAAGTCGAACCTCTAAGAATTGGATTAATTTGCACCGCCCATGGCTAGGAATAGAAGGGCTAATCATCTACTGAGAGTGTGAAAGATTTGTACTCGATATTTATATAATATCTCTTTTGATTTGTTATTTATCTCACTACTTACTCCATTGTTAAATTTGTAGGGGAAGATTTTGATGGCAGTATGGTGAAACATTTTGTTGAAGAATTTAACAAAAAAAACAAAGTCGATATTTCAAACAACAAAAGAGCAATGAGCCGACTTAGAATTCAATGCGAAGCAGCTAAACGAAAATTATCCGTATCTGTGACAGCAAAGTGAGTTTAAGCAATCATTCTTGATCAAATAACTTATGAGGGAAAGTTTTATTTGATTCATTTGAAATGATTTCCAATTTTTATTTCAAGTTATAAAAATACAAATAACACTAGATTTGCATTCAAATCCCGGATATTATATTCTCATATTTGTCTCCCATACTTATCTGATTGAATTTGCTGACTGCCAGTTTTAGAGATGAAGGTACTTTCAAAGCATTAAAACATTTCATAGATCAGCGATGAAAAGCGAGTCAAATTTAAGATCTTGGTCGATCACAGCATTGTTTTCTATTTTTGCATGCTGTGGGTTTTTGTATGTCATTCACTATGAAACAGTAAAATACACTGCGGAATTAGATCATGTGCATAAAAATCAAATTTCTATATTACAGAGTTCAAGTCGACGGGTTTCACGATGGGAAGGATTATAAATCAACCATTAGTAGAGCTACATTTGAAGAGTTGAACAAGGATTACTTTGAACGAATACTCCAGGCGGTGGATACAATATTATCTGATGCAAAGTTTAGTAAAGAAAAGGTGCTGATATGAATGGTTTTAGCGTTAGTATAAGAATGTTGTCGAGGTATAATAAAGGTTTATTCCTTGGCGAAGCTAGTGCCAATTCTATTGATACAAACTTATCGACGGAATATCGATTCCTTCAGACTTATTTTGGTAATGTACAGATTTTCAAGAAGTATTTCAAACAGAGGGTCGTAAATATCAAAAAAGCGTGTAGGCTGGGACCTAAATAATTCGAATGAAAACTAATTTTGGATGTACAAATTCTAAAAAAATATATTCACTTTTATTTTCTCTTCTTTACACATTTATGTTCTGATATTTTTAAGTTTTAGTACATTTAACCTATTCAGGAGTTCGGTGATACCAAAGTCGGTAAACTTGGCAAATGCATTTTGAACTTTTTCAAATTGTGACTGTAGCACTGCTGTTGCCTCAAGATTTTCCTTCCATTGCCTTTTCTATTTATCCATCATAATTCCAGGTTGATGAAGTCGTTTTGGTTGGTGGATCAACTCGAATCCCAAAACTGCGTAATATGATCCAAGAGTATTTCAGCGGCAAAGAATTGTACAAAACCATAAATCCAGATGAAGCTGTGGCGTTTGGAGCTGCCGCACTTGCAGCCGATCTTAGCATTGATAAATCTTCAAAAGTGAATACAGCTTTTGTTATTTTTTCGTTATAAAGATTTTATAAATGCGTAATGACTTATGAACATGAAATATTTTTTTTTAAATTCCTAAAACAATTTTATCTTTTCGAATACACTCTGACCCCTGAATATATTTCATATCGGGCCATGGGACAAGGATGACATAATATTACACAAAGGTAGCGCAACTCTATGCTTCCAAGCACCCAAGTAATTTAATACTGTAGAAATGTGCCCAGTGGAGCATTTCCCACTGAACCCCGGTCCACTGTTCCCCAACAAACTATTTCAGACTGCCCCGTGCCAAAGTTAGTAGATGCTCATGCACTCGCCAACGTCATGAACATACTAAAGCCGGTGGTTTTTACTTTTGAAAATGCTAAAGTGGAAAAAATGAAAAGACTGATATAGAAAAATTTTAGTTTTAACCCCTCAAAACCAACTTTGTCTCATAGCTCGCGTCGCTCTGCACGGTCGATTTGTGTGACGTCGTACCGTAACAAAAGCCCGAGTCAAACATCAAAAAACATACATGCATAACTGTATAGTAGGAGGGCTCATTTTCCACTGTGCCACGCTCCACCTCCCCCTACATACATTGATTTTGTAAAATATGATTAATTTCCCGGCCATTTGCAATCATTTATTCAACGTTATGGGATTTTTTTTTAATATTTTCTTAAGATAAAAGAGTTTATTCTTCACGATATTGTGCCGTTGCCACTTGGCATCAAAGTTGTCGGTGATATCATGTCGGTGGTTGTGGACAAAAATTCAAAAATTCCTTCCAAACACTACAAATCTGTCACCACTGTTGCAGATAATCAAACGACTATTAGGTTTTCGGTAAGTTTATTATCATCAGATTTGAAAAATAGATTTACTTAAAGTTATTTTCCTTTATTGTTTACATATATCTTCAGTACATACAGATTGGCCAAAAAACGGAACCCATAAATTTCCTAATAACTTCCGAAATTTTTTTTTTTTTTTTGAGTTTGTTCACACTTTAACCTCTGTTTGTGCACGATTGTACTATACCCCAAAGTTTTAGGAATCTAGGAAGTTTTTCATAAAAGTTATGTTCCGATAGAATATGTTTCAAATCACCCTCTAAGCGTAGGAGACAGACTTGTATGTACTGCGCAAAATTGTCAATTATCCACACTCCGTTTTTTGCTGAATTGCTTTTTCTGCTACTTGGGTGTGTCAGTGGCAAAATATTGATTAGGCCTACCTGGGTACAACCCCGACAAAAAGTCTTTCATAGAATGTTACACTCCAAATAGTGTGCAGCATGAGAAGCCATTTTCAATCATTGCATAGCTGGTCCTCATTTAATGGACTTGAACATTTCAGATTTTATCTGTGGGGGTATTCAAAGGACAATATATATCAGATTATTCCCCAAACAATTGTTAAACTCAAAACTACAACTGCAACAAAAGTTATAGATATGTTCATGGAAGTGTGTGTGTGGATGATTGTGCGCAACGCATGCAAGTCTGTCTGCTATGCCTAGAAAGTGATTTGGAACATGTACTAGACTTTGTGCAAATCGTCCTATTTTCCTAAAAAATTTGGGTACAATTATGCACAAAGAAGTCAGAGCATAAACAAAATCTAGTATTTTTTTGTGTAAGTGATTGACAAATTTAGTGGTTCCGTTTTTTGGTCACCCAGAATATGATATACTATAAAATACGTCTTCACAAATGAAGGCATATGTATTTATATAAATGTTTTTCAATGTTAACGCTTGTAATAGGTTCCGGGTTTCACTTTCTTTGTTTCAATATAATACAGATTTACCAAGGCGAAAAAACGTCTACCATGCACAACAGACACTTGGGTTCATTTGTTCTAACGGGTATTTATCCTGCTCCACGACAAGTACCTATCATAGATGTTTGTTTTGATATCGACTCCAGTGGAATTTTAACCGTAACAGCGAAAGATAAAATTACTGGAAACAAAAACAACTTACAACTTGAAGCTGCTGAATTAAAACTCTCAGTGGATGAAATAGATCGCATGGTATGTTTTTTTAGATAATATATTCCTGAGTTGAAAATGAAAACTCCAATATATCGAATTGTCAAAATTTTGTTTTATTTTGAATTTTTGGTCAAAAGACGAGAGTGCAATTAATTCACATCAAACTTTTCGATTAAGCCTGGTATAATAATTATTCCACTTAGAGCGCATTTAATATTTTGGAGGCAAGTCATGTTTATCCAATTTCAAATCAACGCCATCTCCAATGCACTATTTATGGTTTGTTGTAAAATTTTGCCGGTGTAAATTTATTTTAGAAATGGTGAGATTGTCAAATAACAAAAATCAGCAATAAATATGGTTGGATATAGCTAGCCATCAATATTGTTTAATAAATCAATGCAGTGTAGGTACAGACAATTCGTTCTTCATATCTTTCATAAAAATCCATATCGTACAAAATTGCTTAAAAGTTAAAATAGTGAAACACTTTCTAGAGGCTGCAAGAGTCTGAAAATATTGACCGAATATTCCTATTTTATTTCGAAAATTCTCTCAAAATTTTGTAATTTACAATTAATCTGTAGAAACACTTTTTAAGACATTTTTTGCGACCACTGTTTTTCTATCCTTATTCCATCCAGAAAATGGAATAAGTCGTGAAGGTATAGACAAAAAATTGGCAATCCCGATTGCAATAACATTACCAAAATATTGTCGAAGAAAGTCTGCTGCTGCTGAGATTGATATTAAATCAAAATAATATAATTAAAAAAATGAAATGGTTGAATCCTGCCGGATTGTTTTTAAAAATTTCCAAAAAAATTATGATCTTTAATAATTCGTTTGTAACTGTTTTGCAAAAATTTTTTTTTTTATTATTTTATCCATAGGTCGCATCACAAAATGAACTGCAACTGATTTCTGAATCGAAACAGAAACTTGAGAAATCTCTCGGCGAAATAGTTCAAGCTGTATCTGATCCAAAATATGCTGATGACCTTAGTAATGCAGAAAAAGAAACAATAAATGACTATTGTGTCAATGCATACGCATTTCTCGATGAATCGGTGAGATTTCAGCATATACTTACTGAACCCAATATTCATTCAGTACCTGCCATGGTATTCTTCAAGTTTTTTATTGAGAATAGCATGATTATGTCAATGGAACTAATAAATTTATACGACGAATTTAATCACCTCTTGCTTCGAACCAAGCTCTACATAAGCAACAGATGCTACGTAAGGTGCTACTATGATTTCGAAGGACACGAATCTCCCGGTCCTCCACTCCCTACCCAATTTGCTTACACCTTGGGTGAGATGTTTGGCGTGAAAATGAAACCATAATTTTAACCTGCTGTGATAATATAGCTACGTCGAACTATTTATTGAATCACCATCATTAAATCAGAAAATCAAATTTTTTTTGCAGAATCCTGGTCAGAAAGAGTTGGATGAAATAAGAAAAACACTTGAACAAAACTGTAAATTAATTTTTGTTCGAATAGATAACAAGGTGAAATAAGTTCATCATCTGTTCATTCCTCAAACTGTGTCTAAAGCATTTATAATCGGTATATTACTTTTCGATAATGTTATCACTTTAGTACATATTGTTCAGGTGGGCTTACTTTTATTCATTGGTATTTTTGGACTAGGAGTGATACTCGGACTATTGGCTATGGCAGGGATGGCGAACCACTGACCCACGGTTCACGAAGTGACCCATCGCGTTTTTTTCGTGACCCGTTAAAGCATGAATAAAATAAAATAAAATGCTAAAATATCAGTGATAAAAATTGATAAAACCGGCTTTTAATTAATCTAACATCAACTAAACTATTATAATATACCGTCAGTTGGGCAGTCAGGGCTACGATCGCTTATATTCAAATTGTTAATTTCCGGTATGGTAATCGTCAAAATCCCTAATCTTGAACGCAATCTGCACCGTCGTGTGCCGTTATTCAGCTATTGGCTCTGACATCGTTTATGACATAACAATGCAATTAATGTTCATTTCTCGCAACGTCTTGTGTTTTAGGGGTTATACGAGAACTAGATGCTACTTTGCATTTTATTAGTTTCTCGCCTACAATGCCGTTGTTAATACAAAATCTCTCAGACTTGAAATAAAAACCTAGAAATCTGAAATAACAATGGGGCAGTGTAAAAGTGCTTTAATGTGGTTGGAAGCTGATCGAAAAATATGAGACTATTAGAGTGGAATCCCTTCAAACGCTTTGGAACCATAAAATAATTTGCCACATCATCCTAAACGTAATTCATATGCGTGTTTTCGTACTATAATTTCATAATATCGAGTGCCATAAAAAGTCCCTGATGGAAGTGCTGTATAAGTTTCTGTATTTGTATTTGTATCAGAAGTTTCTTATAGATACAAACATTGATTAAATATCTGTGACCCACTCTCTTCTGTTCCGCAATAAAAATATGATTTTTGACCCATTCATTGAAAGAGGTTTGCCATCCCTGGGCTATGGTAAGGTATCCATAAGCTTATTGAGGTTTTAAAAAGTTGTGTATTGTGTAATATCCTGTAAAACCGTTTTAAAAATTGTGGGTCCCAATTTTCAACTAGATTTGAGATAAGCTATTCTTTGAAAGAAATTTATAGCTTTGAAATATTGAGATCTTCTATTTTATAATTTAGCCAATTTCAAGTTGATAAATTCTCATAGTCTTATTCCATAATTATTAATAATCCATCGAATTGTTATTAATCAAATACTTCTCACTTTTTAACACTTCAGTTACAACTAACAGAAATGCTACACCAAAAAGTGGAATTGCTGCACGATTTAGTTGCACTTGCACTTTTAGCAAAAATGTCCTTTTTGTCACATCTGAATTACCCTAAATGAATAAAATATCTTCAAAACAGCAGAATTTCATCATATACAAAATGCTTATACAAAATCTCGTATATTGTCTGAAAAAATAAAAATAAAATTATTGCAGCTGAAACATAGACGTATAAAAGAGGCTCTTACTTCATTGCTTAGAAATTAATAGATAAAAATGATATTTATATTTCATATATAAAAGAATAAATCGAAGTTTTACTATTTCTTCAAGAATTTTTTCACTCGGTAACATAATTAAATTATACAAAAAATTAGGTTTATTAAATTACAAAAAATGCTAATGTATACTTCTGAATTTAATTCACCTAATTATATTTTCAAACTAAAAGTATCATAACTTCATGGATTTCTAAACTTTAGATTGGAATCCCCAAAAAGCTTATAATATTTTAGGCGAAAATCTTGGAACATCAAAAAAAGAAAGAAGCAGAAGAATACAGTCTACGCCAAGAAGCGCAGAATAATTTGAAGAGGCTTATTGATGATGTTGAGAGCAAAGTCCAACGGCTGTGCTTCAAAACGTTTACCAATGATAAATTAGCAATTCTTCAAAGTTGTCAGAAATTAAGGAACTGGATGGAAGAAAACAAGGTCCAAATAGTTGTTATTTACTCATCTTCATTGACTTTTTACCTGTTCTGTCATATTTTATGTAATTGTGGGGACGTGAAAAAAATACGGTTAAAGTTAATATTAGAGATTAGTTCAATTATAACATATATTCTCAACTTAAAAACTGAGGATGTAACATTTATTGACACAAACAAAATTTTTAAATTTATTTGTAGGATTACTAATTTTGACAGATATATATTATTAAACAGTGATTAATTTTTCTATGTCGTAGTCGCTTTGCATAACCTGACGTACTAACCAACATAAGGTTAGTATATATACGAAAATTAGATTATAAATTTTGATTGATTTGGATTCAGAACGCAGCGATAAATGATATTTATGACCACTCGAAGAATTTTCGAGAATGGAGTGAGGAAATGTTTGAGAAAATGGAAGAAGCCGTAAAGGTATGGACAAATAATTGGCAACACCGATTGCATTAACATTAGCAAAATATTGTCGAAGAAAGTCTGCTGGTATGAGATTGATATTTAAACAAAATAACATAACAGAATGAATTGGTTGAATCATGCCTGAGTGTTTTTGAAACTTTTGAAAGGAAATTGGGAGCTTCAATAATTTGTGCGTAACTGTTTTGCAAAATTATTATTTTTATATTATTTTATACATAGGTCGCCTCACAAAATGAACTTCAACTGATTTCTGAATCAAAACAAAAACTTGAAAAATGTCTCGACGAAGTAGTTCAAGCAGTATCTGATCCAAAATATGCTGACAACCTTAGCAACGCAGAAAAAGAAACAATTAATAACTACTGTACCAATGCGTACGCATTGCTCGATGAATCGGTGAGGTTTCAGCATATACTTCCAGAACCCAATATTCATTCAGTAGTCGACACGGCTTCCTTCAAGTCTTTTATTGATAATAGCATGATTATGTCAATGGAACTAAAAAATTAATAAGACGAATTCAATCATCTCTTGCTTTGAACCAAGCTCTACATAGACAACAGATGCTACGTAAGGTGCTACCATGATTTCGAAACAAACGAATCTCCCCGGTCCTTCACTCTCTACCCAATTCGCTACACCCTGGGTGACATGTTTGGCGTGGAACTGAAACCAGAGTTTTGATCAGCTAAATATAACTACGTCGAACTATTGAACCACAATTATTTAATCAGAAAATCTAAAATTTTTTTTTGCAGAATCCGAGTCAAAAAGAGTTGGATGAAAAAAGAAAATCACTTGAACAAAACTGTAAATCAATTTTTGTTCGAATAGATGACAAGGTGAAATAGGTTCATCATCTGTTCATTCCTCGTGTTGTGTCTAAAACCTTTATAATTGGTATAATACCTCTCGCTAATACGATAACTTCACCACATATTATTATAGCGGGCTAAACTGTATATTCGTTGGTACATTTTGGAGTAAGAATCAGTATTGACTATGGTGAGGTATCCATAAGCTTCACTCTAAGAAATTTTAGGGTAAAAATTACAGGAATTTCCGGTAAAATCGCCGTTAATCACCTGTGAATTTCGCAGGATGTTACTAGTAATCCTTACAAGTTTTTTTCGGTAATTATTACCGGCAATCCGTAGTAATATTTACCGACGCTATCCTGTAAATTTACGTTGAAAATCCGGTGAACTTACATTCAAAAACCCGGTAAAATTCACCGTTATCCTCCTGGCATTACATTTTACCGGACATAATCAGTAAATATTACAGGCTATTATAAGAAACCGAATTTATTTACAAATAAAATGAAATTGGAAACTATGCGAATGAAACGGAAAGAAATTGTACAACAGTGATAAACCATGAAGAAAGAAATGGTGAAAACAGTAATAAACCCTGAAGAAAAAAATTGTATAAAAAAAACAGTGATAAACCATAAAATAGAAACACTGAGGAATAGAATGAGTGGAAAAAAAAACTAAATTTCATAAAAACAGCTAAAACCTTAAAATGAGAAAATTCCAAATTTTTATATGTCAAATGGATAAGTCACATTATCATCTGAAATATAATTTAAACAGTGAAAAAGTGTAATCTGTCCAAAGCAGTGCAAGTTTCTTTGTATAAAGTTTGTGGAAGTTTTCATTGTTGATGGTATATTGAATTATTGAAATTTTTCCAGTAGGGCCTGAACTTTTGGGTGTAGTCTATTTTCATCAGTCTTCTTTTTTGAGCGGGGGGCATTGTCACCAATTCCTGCGAAGTATCTGAAATGGAATGTGTAAACAGGTTCAACGACAAATATACAAAAATAAATATAACTTTTGACTAAGTTCTAATATTTTTAGCATTAAATACTTGCCGCCAACCAATCTAATGCCCTTGCAAGCCTGAATGCTCGCAGAGTATATCTAATTAAGTGATAATATGATTGTTAAACTAGCATTCAGAATAGCTCACCGTTGTACAAACTCGTACGTTTTCTTTGCCTCCTTCGGGTATTGCATATTGAAAACGTAATAAGATCCAAAGGCGCATGTCACTGCATCGAAGAAATCTGCACATTCAATATATACAGACTTTTCCAATATCACATGTAGCTTGCTAGCATTGATAAGAGAGGTGCCTGAAAATATATTCAAATTATATTCCATTACAATTTTTATCAACATATGCGTAAAGACCGGATATAAAGAAAATGTCTTTTTCCACATTGTGGGCACAAATGGCGTTCTGGATATTAGCCGTGATCATTCACATTATGTCAAAAAGCATGGGATGTCTGTGTAGATACAGACCAATATCATGAAGTGTAGGTTATAACGTTTTTCTGATAAAATTAAACAAAAAAAACATTCTTACCACGAATGATAACTGTTGGTGTTGGCTGCACAACCTCACATATTCTCTCGTCTGTTACATCTTCCTATAGATGAATAAAATAAAGGATTGAGTAATGTATATGATAAAATATATCATGAATATTCCCAAATATCACACCCCATATCGTTAACTGCCAGATGGACCTGACCAAATATTTAACTTACAAATTTAAAATAAACCTCACTAGGAAGAAAAATGTCGTGCGCAAGGCATGGTGGTAAACCTGGTCCACATACAAGATAATAGCTCAGTTGATTGAATATAGACTTATGCTTCACACCTTGAACATTACCGCCAACCAGTTCACAAGCCTCGGCAGCGTTGTTGTAAGACGTAGGAGTTCTAGCAAGGCCAACTTTGACTGGATTCGAGTGAAAGTCATTTCTCTGAATAGTACAATAACGACAAAAATACTGTGAAGTTCCAAAATTTGTAACAAAACCCCCAAGCCAATGACTCCCCAAATTATCTCCAGCAATACAAACAATGCTACCGCGTACAAGTTCATCGAAGCCAAGATCAACACCATCAGTTTGGAGAATTTTCAAATCATTCAGCAAAGGCTTGAAAATATCTTCAACACTTGAAGATTCAAGATATTTTTCTTTCACCAGCAATACCAGCTGAATAGAGTTTATTTTGGATCGACAATATGGATATTGTTTCCCAGAGAAAAATAACAAGCCAGAATTTTATGCTTTCTTTTGGCAGATCCTAAGGGATTAACAATTTCGAAAGCATCTTGATATAGGATTATTTGAAGTCGAGGTAACGAGTTATTACATTGAAAAAATGTATTATTCATAATAGCTTCTCCATCCTTTACATCTACTTGATGTCCATCATTGCGAGGAAGATTCAAAAACTGTTGTCTGATAGAAGAAAATTTGAACAAAGCTTTTATAGACTGTTAAATTGGGACATATATATAGGTTGCCGGCTCCAAATATTCACGGTTAGTAGAACGCCCTATATTGAAAGATATTGGTTCAACAAATGGAAATTGTCGTTTGTAAAATTGTTCACGAGAATATTTCGTTCGGAGAGTGCCATCACTGATTGGATTTGACATTAGTGCATTAGAAACAGAACTCTGCAGCTCCTCAATTACGGATTCAGGAACACCCCCACTGGTTGAGATATTTTTGATGACATCCAACACAATTTCACTTTGATTGATTATGAGCAATGATTCTTGGTGTATTATTTTGTCAATTGTGATACCGGGAACCAAATGTCTATATTGTAGAGATGCATAAAAAAGCGCACTTTGTTTATAAAATATTTCTGAAGGATTTTCTGATATTGCCACTGGTTCCACGTCGGAAAAGTTTGTTTCAGCTTCAGTATCTATGGATGAAGATGTTGCTCCACATATTGGATAATGTATGGATTTATGACAACAATAAATATGACTACAGAATGATCTATAATTGCTGTAATCTTTCAAGCAGTTTATATAAGGGCAAATAATCACTGATCCAAATTTAGTATGAGTTTTCAAATGCTTTAAAATTTCTTTCAAATTATCTCCTTTGAAACTACAGGAAGCAATGCAGCAATTTAGATTAACTTCCATGGATTATCAAAATTTAAATACTTCTCATGTGATGTTACTGTGTTAACAAAAATAAAATTGTGATTTTATATTTAGTCTACTACAATATTGTAATACCATAGACAATAATCAATCAATCAATATAGCAGCGGTCTCAATATCCAGATATCACTGGAAAATAGCAATCGGCTGTTTTTGTCACTAGATTTTAAACAGAAACAGCAGCTTACATACCGGTACCATACTGTTAGCCATTTTTGCCCTTCGATTTATAGAAAGTGTCAGAGAGTAGACAATATACACAAACATTTTCATGCTGAATGAACATACCAGAACATACCGCTACGACTGTACAACTGTAGTCTATCAGGATACGATATTCTTTTACTACATTATCGGCATTCGCTGCAGATTATATGAACTCTGGAACAAATCAAACTTTAAAAGGGATGTACACTTAATGTGACTTGCAGCCTTATACCAATACAGTCTGATAAAGTCATTGTACCTGTAGTTATTCTTAAGTTTAAAAAATACTTCAATAACTACTGAACTTATGTACCGGCAATCACTGAATCAGTTAAGACTATCTGTTAGGTACCGTACATCACCAAAATTTTATTAGTTACCGTACCGTTGACCTTAACGTGGCCGATATCGGTACAGTCAGACAGTTAGTCTAAATCTGTAAATGCAGAAATGGGTAAAAAGCAATGCTGCAAGTCCGCAGGTCCGAAAAATATAAACTAGGAAACCCTAGCTCTTGTCTGATCTCAAAAACATATAACGGTACCGTACCATACCGGTATCCAAAACATGATGCAGTGATGGGTACGGTAACGTACCAGGGTACGGTACGATAGACCAGTACCGTATTCTACGTTACAGAAGTATCGAATCCTATTTAGACAGTAATAGTTGACACTAAAACAAACGCAACACATACATTCTGACATTTGCAAACCCAAATCTGCATATCGCCCAACTATCCTGCTTCCGGTATACGGTAACAATAACAACTGACGATAACCAACAAACGGACAAAGAGCATCGCTCAAAGTCCAATTTTACAAGTCGAAAGACAAAGAATCGGATGGCGTGATAATTCACGTGATTGAATACCGCCTCTTATTGGCTGCTGTCTTTTAGCAGTGTGCGCACGCAGTGTTATATACTGCCCCGCACCCAATGCCTGTAATATTTACCGGTTTTTTTTTCGTAAAATCCGTTACCGACTCATTTTTGTAATTTTTTACCCACAAAATGAGGGTAAAATTTACCGAACATTTCTTAGAGTGTTATTGTAGATTCAAATTTGGGTAAAATCCTGTAAAACCGTTTCTAAAAATTGTGACGCAAAAAGATGCAACTCATTAAATGTAGATGGTCAGTAAGGAGAAAGTTAGGCTCAAATTTGAGACTACGATGGATTTTAATCTGGCCATAGTCAATGAAGAGGACATTGTTTGTTGAATCTAATATTTATAAGATTTCAATTCCATATTTGTTGAATTATCTGCTTTATGCCAAAGATTATCAATTTATTCTGGACAAATCATCTCTAAACCTGCGACGTAAAATGAGACACATACAATCCAACGAATCCTGAGATTTGAAAAATTGAAAATCTACAATATTTTTTTTGCTTTTAATTATAAGCCTACAAAGCTATTTCTAGAATATATATGAAATATTTTTTTCAATAAAAATTTTTTGACGAAATTTAACAGTGAATCAATGAAATGCTCCTAAATCCTATTCCTTATAAACGTGGCAAGAACAAACCTATTTGCACTATTAAAATCAACAAAATAATTAAAAACAATCAAATCAAAGACAATTTAAAATAAATTCAATAGGAACAAATGAAAATAACTTAAAAACGAGTATTGCTTTCAAATTAAATAAGTTATTTCATGTGCTTGTATGCAACTGATTAAATGTAAATGGTCAGTAAGGAGAAAGTTAGGCTCAAATTTGAGACTACGCTAGATTTTAATCTGGCCATAGTCAATGAAGGGGACATTGTTTGTTGAATCTATTAATTATAAGATTTCAATTCCATATTTGTTGAATTATCTGCTATATGCCAAAGATTATCAACAAAATTGGACGGATGTAACTAACGTAAGAAAGTATGCCAAATTTTTTTCTGTTTTTATATTATCAATGTTATATTTACGTTTTTAAATGCTCGACAGAATGATGAAGAGGAATCAATAAAAGTTGTTGTCAATGAAGCCAAGGAAAAAAGTGATGCGATAAACAAGTTGGAAGAATTGGTCTTCAAAATCAATGAACTAGTCGAGTTGAATTCAGAAACAATATCTCCTCGAGAAAGGAAAGGATTGCTGGCAAAATCGAAAGAAGTTTTGGAATTTGCCAAGTCTAACGAGGTAAGTGAAAAGCATGCTAAAAATAGTATTCCTGAATCATCAATTGTTTTAACCACGAATTTTTAATAATCATATTGGATGGATTTTTTCATCAACTTTTGAAGAAAAGTTCGCTGTCCAATCGAAACTATATTTCTGAAATATAGATGTTCTACCTGATTTTGAAGTTTTTCTAATCCCTTTTATTGGCTCAGGCTTGAAATTTTCTGAAAGTAATTTTTGTAAAGGTAGAAATTTTCCAATTCAATTTTCACGTCCACCAAAATATGTCATTTGTCTGTGTGATTCGTATGTCTTTGAGTGCAGACAAATATTTTTAGTTTAAAGACCAAATGTTTACTTTTAGAATAAAAACATTTTTACAATATTTTTAGAATGCTGATCCTGAAAGTATTCGCCAGAAAACATCAGAACTAGAAAACTATTACAACAAAGTACGAGAATACTCTGAATACTTGAAGTCACCGCAGGGGTAAAAATAATTTGATTTTGTTTGCATTTTCTTTAAGTTTGTTGGTGCATGAGTTCAGGTTAATTTTATTTAATCGGAATCAAAAGACTTACAGACTTTGAAGAATTAAATAAAAGAAATGAGGTATTTAAACAATTTAATTTAAATATTTACAACACAATAGCTGATTTAAAATTATATTGATATTTCCTAAATATTATTTTAAAGAAACGATCACGTCCTAATTTAATTCCATAGACATAGCGATGAAATTCTCACTATGAAGGCAAAGACAATTCGAACAAAGACAATTCAAGACTAATTTTTACTAACTGTCACTTATTTAGTTATTCTCTAGATCAGGCGTCACCAAACTTTTTGACCGCGGGCCGGATATGACTCAAACTGTGTTGAAACGGGCCGGACAAATATTTTTGTCAATGCAATACAATAAATTCACAAAAGTTGGGAAATCCATTCAATTTATTCAACAATATATATGCTATATTTCTGACTCGACTCGAATATTAAATTCTATCTATACCGGTATCGTAGAATATAGATCGAGAACATACTAGGAAAACAATTATACAAGATTTCTATATCTAGACAACTATCCTGACTTTACCTGTTATCAAGACGTTGCAGTCATAAGTTAGGAATGTTACAAAATCCGCTTTTTCGCGCCAAAAAATGTACGCATCACGTCTGCTAAGTACCGTTACGCCGCGTCGCAATACCGCTCATAAAAACGATTACGGACTGCCTGCTGTAGCATGGAATTCCATGAAATTTCGACATGAATAAACTATTATCTGGTCTTTGATTTTCCGGCCCGCGGGCCGTAGTTTGGTGACCCCTGCTCTAGATAAACAAATAATTCGTTTATTTTAACTATTTATTCATATTTAAATATTTTGTTTCAAACAAATCTCATGATTTTTTCATACTTCATATTATTTTATTTTATATTCAAATTATAAATGATTCTAGCTATACCTATTTTTCAAATTAAATTTTAACGGTCAATACTATTATGTACTAATTGTCTAAATTTTGCATCTCATTTTGTAGATTACTGACAGTACTAACTGATGAAAGAAAAACTGGGTACATTCCATCGACTCATTTTTCGTAATGTGTTATTTTCTATTTTTTGCAATCAAATGCACATCAAACCAAACCTATACAAGATGAAAATATATATTTAAAAAAAAAGACTTTTGTAAATACATTATGTGAGTGATTATTTTGATTTGAAAATAAAATGATGAATTGCAATAAAACGACTTTGTAATGTGTTATTTTCTATTTTTTGCAATCAAATGCACATCAAACCAAACCTATACAAGATGAAAATATATATTTAAAAAACAAGACTTTTGTAAATACATTATGTGAGTGATTATTCTGATTTGAAAATAAAATGATGAATTGCAATAAAACGACTTTGTTATATTTATTTTCACGATGTCAAAAATTGGCTGAAATCATTTTTAGTGACGATTTCAATAGTGCCAAGTTACCCCTGCACTAGACAGAGCACGGGAAACTAGAGCACAGTAATTACAATTGAATATCTTATTAAACTAAAATTCGGAAGCCATAATTAATTTTGTTAGTTTAATCAAGGGTGACGATGAAGTTGCTGAGAGTTTGGAACCGTCAATCTTCGTCGTAGTATTCATTTTGATTTCTTATGTATAATGTTGGGTTCAATATTTACCTGATAACGTGATTATTTACAATAATTTCAAACGTGTATCATATTACTCCTGAGCAGTGTTCCCTCTAAGAAAATTTCACACTACGCAAATATTGTTTTTACTGAGCAAGACTATTCTAAGGCTGAGCAGAATCCTAAATTATTTGCAAACTTTGTGAAATGTAGTAATAGTAGCTTATTATGTATTATCGGAATACGAACAAAGCACACGTTTAATTCAAATAGCTTCTCTTTGGTTTCGTGCCTTTCCAAGGTTTATAAGTTTTGTCCGTGTTTGTTGTGTTTATTGCTGAATCAAGCGATAATTATCCGAAGTACAATACTTGATGTACAATCTCGATATTTTCGTTGTTGAAATATCATTGCTTTCATCAAAATCAGAGTATGAAATTTTGCTTGTCTTATGCCCCGCATGTTTTCTTCCCTGGCGACAAAGTTTATGCTTATCAAAAATTCGAAGCCGTAATTTTTGCTTCACCATGAATGTGGTAATTTAGTGTATGTTGACATTCGATATTTATTAATTTGCGGGACAATATTGATCAATTCAGCTTAACACGTGGTGGAACTATCTATGTGAGGCTTCATTTCATTTGATGGGGTTTTCAAAACTTCACTTTCTTCAGCGGTCGGTATTGGGGTGAAAAAGTTCGAACAACCTCCTCTTGCTTCCACGTTTAACTTCTGAGTTAATGCATCTAGTGCGTCAATGTGCTTTTTATGATTTAAATAGCGTTTTAAATAATCAACTTCTTATTCCCTCCCATGATTTTCCTTTTCCAGATCACTATCAGGTGCCACTTCACGACAAACTTTGTGGATTATCACATTCCTTGACGGGGAATAGCAATAAATTTCGCAAAGTTTAGCAGTTGTTTTAGCTTATGCATACCGGTATCAAGATTGCAAATTAGTGTCGAACACTTCACTGTTGTATTTAGCCTAGGATTACCATATTTGAAAAAGCAAAATTCCGGACAGTGCATGAGTATTTTCGGCGCTCCCGAAGTATGTGAACCAAGATGGCGCATAACCTGAACCCTAACCTGGTACACATACTATGTTAAGGTTGTGCGCCATCTTGGTGCACATAATTCGGGAGCTCCGTATTTTCACGAGACCATATATATGCACTACCTAAATGCTAAGGCTGCAAACGCTGTACGATACTCCTGCTAACGTTGTACGATACTCATTCTAAAGCGCCAGCTACCGAAATGAAAAGTATTGTCTTCAGTCACAAGCAGAATCTCACACTAGGCGGGTAAGCCATCTCTAAATAAATCTCAACTTCAGAGTGAAAAATATTAATAAGAATTAGAGTGTGCCTAATTTACTCTTCTGACCATGCATATTTTTCTGAAGATCTAATTCTCTTCAATAGGGCACATTCATTTACAGTTGTCTCCTGTAAATGCCACACATTTTTGCTAACTTGTGCTAAGGATTTGGTTTCTGCGAGGCTAACTACTTATTCGTCTTCTATGCTTTTGTGCCGGCGGATCCGTATGCATATAATGCAAGGATGCTGGAGCAAGAGTAAAGATAACTATCTCAAGTGATACGAGAGTCTTGCTGAACACTAACACAAATAACAAATATATTTCTGTAACGTTTCGTCTGACCAAGGTCAGACTTTTTCAGGCATACATAGCTGAACTGGACACGTGTGTACCAATCTAGAGATTTAAGAGCCGACAGTGCTAGCACTCGCTTAAACTCAGCCCTTCTTCAAATTCCAACTAGTTTAGCCTAACCATACGGCTACGAGCAACCAACAAATTTTCCGTAACAAACAATGGGCACCAGCTTTGCAACATTTGATACCTATTAAAATTCTAAACCTTCCCATATCTTCATCTGTTTGATTACATCACGGACACTAACAAGATCTTGCCGGGTCGACAACACGAAATTCAGAGCACGCGATGAAAATTTTAAAATCAAATCGTGAAACATAAAACGAGCATTCTAGTTGAGCGAAAAGGACATATGAAATATGATCCACAATTTGAAAACAAAATGTTGCAATTGAGCGAGAATGAGATTTTACTACGCAAATGTTCTGGTGGTACTGTGCAATTACGCAGTTGCGCAGTTTAGAGGGAACCTTGATTCTGAGCGAGATCCATGCTCATTTGCCACGATGAATTGGCCATGCTTCGACTCACGATAAATAATATTTACATTCTATTCATATAAACATGATACCAAGTAAGGACCTAGTTTTAAAAGAATTTCTAAATTCTTGCTTGTCTCAAACAATATAGAGCATTCGTCTTAGACCAAAATATAGCAAAATTTATTTAAACAGAACAATCATGAATACAGAAGACAAAATGTGTACATTTTACAGGGTTTAAAAACAGTACAACCAAAAAACTAAATTGCATCTTTAAAACATATTGTCAGTTAAGTGATATGTAAGTTATCTATACAATTTTGATTAAACCTTTTTACTTTTCTTTAATTAATATTACAATTTAGTGATTTCACAATGATCTACTCCAGACGTATTTCTTCTTGCCAACAGTGACAGCACTAACACGAGCAATACCGAATATGTAAAAAGATAAATGTGTGTAATCCAAATATTATCTGTAAGACAAACATGACCTAATATGAATACAAGTAAATTGGTATGGCATTGCGAGACACTCAGAGATAAACAGGTTAGATATTTTGCAATATGGTTAAATAATAAGTTCATTTTACTTATATTAGAATAGGTTAAATTCCTAGCATAATTTGACGCTGACGCTATATTGCTAAAATTATTTTCAACCAAGAATTGTTTTTATTAAAATTATTCAAATGCAAAATAACATTCAATAACTACTAATGCCCTTTCGGTAAATTTATTCAACGTCGTCGGAAGATGCGCATTACAAAACTGCAAAAATATGCCCAGATCCAGATTTATATTCGAATTCTAAATAACAAACTGTTGGGCCAATGATGTCACTCAATTAAATCGAAAAATAAAGAACTAAATCTCGCCCGAAATTATTTCAACTTCAATACCGGTTAATAGCTTTAAAAATATGTACACAGAGATCTGTTATCGCAGGTCTGATTAAATGTACAAGGTTAGTAAGAAAAGTTCAGCATGATTTATGGCTGAGTTAGTCTCAGCTTATGTCCAACAAAATAATGGAAATATGGATGCACAAATCCGAGAATATTTGGCAGACATCGCAAATTTATTTTTATTTTCTAATCTTTTCAGATCACACGGGTATCATCACGAATCAGTTTTCTCGACAAACTTTATGTTGCAATATGGTTTGTTTGGTTTTGGAATAATTATTCGGTAGGTGTGGTCTGAACATACTGATAAGAAAAGAAACACTTTGTACTTATAACAATTATATCCTTGTTCATTTATGAAACCAAATATAATATCGACTGGTTTATTTGGTATTTTTCATTTTAATGATTTTGTACCTCTCATATTAATCAGTTGGCCAAGTCAAACGCCCATATTGAGAAGCTCATATTAATTGTACAAAGCAATATATTGCATCGATAAATTGTTTTTAAAGCAGCGTTTCCCAACCTTTTTTGGTCGCGGACTATTTTCTCACCGGCAAAAACCTTTGCGGACTCAACGTGCGATTATTGCAACCGTATTTTGTGTGAAGAAGTAATAAAACCAAGCCCAACAGAATTTTAACAAATTCAAAAATCGGAAATTCGCCGCAATTACGCGTTTGTCAAAAGAGCCGACTTTTTTAGTGTATAAATGGCCTTTTGTGTCGCACAATATTCAATCCATGATAACGACGAGAATTTAAAATGTCTTTCTATTTTAATTTAATTGTGTCCATGGCTCGCGGTTGTGTCGACCTATGAAAAAAGCATTACTTCTTTAAAATACCACGAAAATGAGCGAACATTTTAATGTGAGAATATATGGCCCGATTATATTTAGTTTTGCGATCTTGGGAATTTGTTATCTGCTATAAACTTCCAGAAAGTACAACTTGATTTAGTACCTATTAGAAACGTAATTAAAGTATATTAGTAAATCAAAAAAACTATTCATCGCCTTGCTTTAATATTAATTTAATTGTGATCATTATAATATGCGGTTGTGTTGACGAAACAAAAGCAATACTACTCAGAAAATACCATGACAATCCAGGGACACAAAAATGCGGAAGTTACCTGTCGCTTCACCTGTTACCAAATTTTCGAATAGTAAATTGCTATTCGAATAGTTGAATTTTCGAATATATATATGCCCAGTCCTACTCAGTATTCAGTAATTATTGACTCCATTAATGTTATGTGAATAAACTTGCTTTTTATGTTTTATGTAAATTATAACGTAAATCGTAACTTGGCTGATGGAGAAGTTTCGCAAAAAACGTTTGCGGTCCACAGTGAATTTCTGGCTCGTTGCGGACTCATTCAAACGCTCTGCGGACTCATTTGAGACCGCGGACACGGGTTCGGGAACACTGTTTTAAAGTGTCGTCCAGAGAAATTATACCACGAAATTCAGTGAATTGTACATTGCCTGAAAGGGTCAAAAATATTTATTACACATTGTTACCCAGAATATAGATTTTTCCTAGGTAGACGTACATGTAATATTGCCCTATACAGCTAAATATCAGTAAAGACATTTAACACGAGAAAAGGATTATGATATCTACTTAGTGTTTCTTATCAATTTGATAAAGATACACATGTGAACAGAACTTTATTTTTCAAGTATTTCAAGCTACCTTACGATATGCTTCATAGCTGATAATCTCTAAAATACCAAATGAAGAAAGTTGCATGCGATGGTTACCTCCTCAATTTTCACGATAAACAAGGGCTAGAAATAGAGTTGACTATTATATTAAATTAGCAAGGGATAAAAGAGGCAGAGGTAAAAATCAGCGTGAAATTGCAATTACCAATTGAGCACTATGATAAAATGTACGTGCTAGGAAATGACCGTCCAATTCGTCTATCTCAGGGGTTCTCAACCGATGGACAATTTCCACGACTCTAAAACAGATGAATACTAAATTTATCAACATTTTGCATTATAATATTTGAATATCAATTCCACCAGCAGTAATATTTTTTCACGAAATTTTGTTCTATTCCAGGTATGTCTCACGTACATGGGTGTCAAAGACAATAATCGTATACTGTAAGAATGGAACCCATGACATAAATTTGACCAAGATGAATGACTATATGAAACTTATATCATGTACACAACTGAATGATAAATGCGATTATGAATATTAACTCTGCGAAGTTGTTACAATATTTAGTTTATTTAGCTCGCTTTTTTTGTAGTTTGACAGTTAAAGCGTATGAGGAAACTCATGTATGTACAATACTGCCCGTAAATCATTACAATGGACGGTCGAATACATTATATTCAATCTAAAAAATACCCGAGAATGAAATGAAGCTTCTACTTCCTCAATTTGCTTGACAAACAAGTGATGTGAAAGCACTGAACTGGAAATATATATATCTCTGTTTGAAACGGGCAAACAGAGACTACAGTTTCACCAGGCAATTACAGTGTGTCAAAGAATGACAGAGGTAAATATGGTAAGATTGCTGCGTATCATATAAAATCCCTTCAAAACTGCCAGTCTTATATATGCAGATGCCTGGTAACCTCGCTTAGACTAAGGTTTAGTAAACATATAACATAAAAGTTTTGAAGGTAGTCATTTTTACCATTAGTCTTATCAGTTACCATTAGTCTTATCAGTTATGACTCACACTAGGAGTTGATACCTAATTTTCTATTTGTCTTCATACACTGTTAAAATTTTTTTTCCAAATTTACTAAAAAAAAATGGCAGCAAAAGTACTGGCCCATGTAAAAAAATTTACAGGCCCTATCAGTAGTATTATGAACAGTATTTTCAGTAAATTTACAGAGATTGATGGTAGCAAAAATTACTATAAAACTGTAAAAAATACTACTATTTTGACGGCAGTAAACCTACCCACCAGTAGTAATATTTTTTACCTTAAAATAGTAAATAAAATTACTATCTCGATGGCAGCTACCTTACCCGACAGTAGTACCATACAATACTAGCATGATGGTAATTTCTCACTCGCGATGACCGAACCACTACGAGAGTAGCAAAGCTATTTACTAGCACGACACAACAGTAAACACACATATTACAGTTAAAATAAAAAAAACGAGATTCTGGAAACGAAAATCATTTTATTACAATTGATATTTTTATAAAACCATAAATACACACTGAATGCCTTTAAGGCTTGTAAAACAGTTTCGAAAGAAATTTCAGAAAATATATGGTCTACAGTCAAATTTAAACACCTATTAGGAGACGTTGAAGGCTATCCATGCAATAAAATGAGGGCACAAGTTCTTGTAGGACATAGGAATTCTGTATGTAATGGATCAAAATCGAGTTTCTATTGGCACTTGTTAGAAATCTGGTCTATACATTTCGAGGTCTATTTATTTATCTCAATAGATCCAAATAAAGTCAAACAAGAAAACGTTTTAGGACTGGGTTGTTTAGTTGACAAACTTATTTTGAAATCAAATTTCTGGATACCAGGCTATGAGACGCTGGCAAACGTGACATAATAACGAGACTATTGTAAGAATTTCACGATTTTTTGCACTTTACTCTAATTATAATGTTTCAAAATGAAAATTTTGGGAAATATCATGCAACCTATTTTGTAGCTATGGCAAGAGTTTCAAAGATAATTATGCAAGATAATTTTCAAGATAAGATTTCAAGGGGCGTGAAGTCGAAGAGCGGGAGTTTGAGGATTTTGGTAGGAGCATGAGTGGGAGTTCTAAATTTTGAAGCTTGCAGAGTCTATAGAGTTAATCATAGTCGGAGTTTATCCACACTTATGAATAGAGTTTGACTGGACATTTTTAAAGCTCATGAGCTAGGAGCAGAGTTTGCAGAAGTTGCAAATTCGAAAATGTTAAAATTGATAAAACTGGACAAAAAGTTACACTAAAGCAGCTAGCATAGCAGCAGTCAAATCTTATAAGATCAGGGAGTCAAGAGTTTTAATTCATATTTTGAAAGAGTCTCGAGCAGAAGACGGAGTCATATATTTGCAAATGTGGGAGTTGATAGTCATGAGTGGAAGCCAGAAATTTTGTGGTTGAAGAAGATTACGGAGCAGAGTTTGTTTAAAATTATCCAGACTTCACACCCAACACACAGCTAAATCATTTTTATCAAATTAATCGATCAGCCAAAAGCAGGGCTGCGAACTCGAACTTCGAAAAACTCTATCAAATACATGAACTCAAACCCCTGACCAGGGTAATGAACTCGAACTTGAGAAACTCAATCAAAGGCATGTGAAAATTTGATCGAGTTTTCACCCCTGGTCAAAAGTGATGTAAGCTGCAGTAACACCACCAAAGTTTACTTAAACATCAATTTCTAACAACGGCACATATAACGCCTGTGATAGATTCACTCTTCTTGCAAGGCCGATTACTTTTGCATGAACGTCTTTGCCTTTACTTTTTTTCGACTTAGTGCCTCTGGGGTTTATGTCACCGAAGAACCTGAAAAAAGACCGAACTTAAATGGCGAATAGGTTTCACATATGAAATTTGGAAAACGTCCTGTCATCTCACCACCAAAATAGTAAAAACACAAACACTGGACAAAAATAGTAAAAATGTCAGGTATTTATAATGTATCGTGCCTTGCCAAGGATAAACAAAAAACTGCCAGTGGGCCAGGAATGCAATTGCTAAACCAGGAAGCACCAGATCCTCCTAGCCTCCAGTTGTCGCAAATCGCAATAGGCTCATCCGCTCGTTGACATTCGATTGCAAATGCAGCAATTGAAAAATATTGTATTAATTTCTGTCATTAGTAATGATTTTTTGCAAATATATCAAAAATTTTCTGCTACAAAATGGAGAGCACAGTGACATCGTTTGAAATTGGAGTTCACTAAAATAGGATTGTTGTGAGTTCATTTTTCACATATGGATGTAAAACATATTAGATTAGGAGGAAACATGTGTGGTACCGCCAGTCAGTCTATTATTAACCACCTAAAACTGTTTAACTAATTAAATTATTCTCAGCCCTACTTATGGCCCAGTCCCCAGGATATGGACACCATGAGTTTGTGCAAGTCCAGTCACATATTTCCTTTTCACAACCCATTTTTTGTATTGTATGTCATCAAATAACACTACATGACAGAAGTAACAGGTAATTCGTCAACAACGTGTACAACAGCAAGAATTATATCAGCACTGTAGACTAGCACATTTTTTCTTATCTCTGAATAAAATCAAACGTCAGCAAGGCCTTCTTTGGATATTCTATGTTGAAAACATAGAACGAAGCAAACTGAAAAGCTACCGCTTCAAAAAACGATCTACAGGAACACACCACTTCTCGTTCAGCGATGACGTAAAAAGTCTCAGCAGTCGCTACCGTGTTACCTGAAACACAAGATTGTAAACTTTAGCTTCGAATCTATAGGCTTATGAATAAAGTGAAAGTCACTCGACAGGTTGATTAATCTTAATATCTCAACTTCTAAAGCCAACTAATAACAAATACACTTACTAGAGGTGGACGATTAGTGATTTTTTTGATAATATGCAATTACACAATTATTAATTGTATATTAGTACGATCATCTCCGAATTGGCTTTGGCTATATATCTAACATAGCAGACATGGATTTGTTCTTATTTTCACTCACCGTTGATAGCAAGCGCAACACTGATAAAACGAAGGGAGAACTTATTACATTGATGAGGCTTATGATGCGCATTACGTTCTTTTAGAAATATTATATTTCATATTTCAAGCAATGCATACTGTGACGCAACAGTTAAAGCAGGTTGCATGACAGAAGCTGGTGATATTATTTTATAATAATCACAACTGAGAAGTATATGGCGACACAAAATGGCCTTTGAAAAAGTTGCGCAGAATTAATCACAGGAAAACAGCTATCATATCATTTTTCGAAATTGTTCCCGATATTCACAATTACATCGCTCACCTCTAACACTTACCTATGCAAGCAATAAATGGAGATTTTGGAATATCTTTTAATATCTGGGAAAAAGTGGTTTCTTTCTGAAAATAGGCAAAGTAGTGAATGTATATGCAAAAAAATTCTGTTAACCAGTATCATGCAGTTAGTTTCCAATTAATTTGCAGTCGGCTCACAAAACTTTATACGAACAGTGTTGTGCAGAAGTTACATTACTCTTGATGCAAGAACTTTCAAAAAAAAGTACTTTACACAAAAAAAGCATAGAACATACCTGGAAACACTTAAATATTTGGTTTAGGTTCTCTCCGAAATAATAGGCGATCAACGTGACCACCCCAGTCGATTTTGGTAATTCAGTTTTCAGACTCTTTGATTCCGATTTTGAAGAACTTATAAATTCAGAAATTTTCTTATTGGTTGAATATTTCAATGTTCTAAATAATAATGCCTGCTAAAACGCTTAAAAACAGTGAAAAACCGTCAAAAAACACCCAGAACCATGCTAAAACGCTTAAAAAACAGTGAAAAACCGTCAAAAAACACCAAGAACCCTGCTAAAACGCCTAAAAACAGTGAAAAACCGTCAAAAAACACCAAGAATCCTGCTAAAACGCTTAAAAACAGTGAAAAACCGTAAAAAAACACCAAGAACCCTGCTAAAACGCTTAAAAACAGTGAAAAACCGTCAAAAAACACCAAGAACCCTGCTAAAACGCTTAAAAACAGTGAAAAACCGTCAAAAAACACCAAGAACCCTGCTAAAACGCTCAAAAACAGTCAAATAATACAGTGTAAATTGTGAAATCGCCAAATACGTTCCGAACAAGATGGCCGCCTTGTAGAATTGTAGGTATAGTTGAATTCATCTGTCTGTTACCGGTACCGTAGCCTACCTATTGTTGCCACTGACTTGTAACGTTTGAACGTATCATATCACCATAGGCTACCGGTAAGTTACATCTATTCCGAAACAAATACTAAAAATAGCCAATTCAGATTTTTACTCTTGGACGTCGATATATACCGGTACCGGTAAGACGGCTAAACTAACGCAGTGTGTAAGCATGTCGCTGTATACAGGTACGGTACCGGTACCATTAGATGCTGATGTACACGGTATTTAAAGAATATTTTGGTCTACCAACTACAAGTCTGCTACTGTAACACAAACATGCTCAATTAACGCATGAAAAGCTACAAAAACCAACCGCCTAAAATAAACATCCACTAACAACAAAGAGCCTCGCTTACCGAGTCCTAATTCCTGAACCAGAAAAAGCGCGGGCTACAGGCACGTGACATTTGATTGATGTCATAATTGGCACATTACCGGTACTAAATGACCTATGACGGTAAAGAGAAGGATTAAAATATAGGACACTTTGATCTCTGCAAAAAGTACCAGTACCGGTACCTCAATATTCAGACCACTACCCGTGGTAAATTCGCAGCTACCGTACAGACCGTTGCTAACACAATCATCAAACTCAGACTCACGCTATTGCATACTTAACATACGTACCGCATTCAGTTTT